CGGGGCCCCCGATGAACCAGAAAATGTGGTCAGAGACAGACGAAAACGTCCGCGTGGATTATGGTGACACATATTTCCGCGCGTTTTTAGAGAAAATGTTGACTAACCTACAAATGTCAAGCAGACGAACATATCAAGTGATAGATGATCTCATGCACGCGGCTACGGCTAAATACCCATATACACGCTATGTACCAGGTCTTAAGATACAGTTAATGAGTGACTCATTTGTGATACAACCTACTTGTGTGTTAGACCATTGTGTGGACACGAAATTAAAAGTACCATGTGTCCCATTTTCTATGAGGAAAAAGAAATCGGCATAATATTTATTTCATAACGCATGTTATTAAACTAAATTTCTTTTATTCCTTTTCAAACTAATATGCTCAAATAATTTATTTTGATTATAAAAACATCGATTTGCTCAAGTGTTGTAAACATGTCTACCAACTTACCATTTTGATATGATATTCAATCAAGATGATCTCATACGCGGCCACATTGTCTGCATTTTACATAGGAATATGAAAGCTTCACAAAATCAGGATATTTACAAAAGGACTGTAAACGGGGTTTTTTTGTTGTTTTTTTTATTATAGAAAAAACAACATTTTGGTAATCAGTGACCTTGACATTTCTAGTTCTTCTGCACTCAAAATGTGCTGTCAAAAAAAATACTCAAATTATTTTCAGGTATATTTGTATATGTGCACTATATCTGTTTTCATACACATTCCATTACTGTTAACACTCCGTGACACTGTCAACTGTTTTTCCCGTATTATGTGTTTACATTTTTATATGTTTCAAAAGAAAATAAACAAACTAATAACAAACGTTTTATTCTTTATTGTATATTGTTGTGTGTATAATGAGTTTTGAAAATAAGTCTTGTTATGTAACGGCAATCTATTAATGCGCTAAAAGCTTGAACAAAACACTGTTGTAGATTAAATGCTTGTGGATTAACTAGGTAGAATTTAAAAGGTGTCTATCATTGTTTTACTTGGACCAACCAGGGAAAAGTTATCCTGTTGTTTGTTTTTCATGTAACTAGGAGCATAATATGGTCATGAAAACTTATTAAAAGAGAAAAATGATTAAATGGTATCTAACATTAAACTACGAAAATGCCCTAAATCGAACTTCACGCCATTAGGTTTGTTTAAAAACTTTTCAAACTGTACCTATTATGCAAGTTTGCAGGATTTGGTACAGAAAAAGTGCTGCAAAAGGTACAGATTCTAGTAAAACTGTACCATGTACCTCACGTTACAAAATGACCACCTGAGTCAGAGTGTATACTGAGTTAGTTAGTTTACAATTATGAGAGACATGTAACTGTACATTCCAATAGGTACAGAATGGTCTTTAAACAAAACATTTCCATCACTTACCACTCTATAGATAAAAAAAACAATATATAGAACGTAAGAAATCTTGCATAACTTATCATTAATTCTTATACATTAACATAAATACATGGCGGGTAAAACACTGTGAACAAATTCATTACTCATATTTGTACATCTGTATTTTCTATAAATAGTTTATGGACATGTGTATCAGGGATTTTTTTGAAGAAATATTAAATATTGACTAATTATATAATACCAAAGTTTATCTCCCGACAAATTCTGCTCAGGGTCTTTGAAAGACCATGTTCTGTTACAGCACCACATGAGTCATGGTATGTGCAAGGAAAAAAAACTTTGGCCTCAACTAACTCAAAATGTAGTTTGACAAGTACATTCATGAACACTTAACTATAAATGCCTATATGTATATATTCTAACAGCCAAAAGTTAACATAAGTTAAAGTAATTGCACTATTAAAATCTGCAAAAATCTAACTACAATAAAATTAAAAACAAACAAAAAAGGTACAGAGATACATAAAACACACTAACATTATCATTATATAATGATATACATACAAACAGATAAACAACTTAAAGATATGTACAGTGAATTTGTTACTGCTGCCTATAGTTTCAATGGAAAGTAGTTCTTTTCAAATGTTGACCTAAAAATTGGAATATCTTAAAACTTCAGCTCACTTATATTTCTTTCAAGAATTCTCTTCCATTTCTTTCAGCTCAAGCAGGCCTATATAATATAAAGTTTACTGTATATAGTATTTCATGAGGATTGAAATACCCACAGTATCTGTTGCAGAGAAAACAATGGTAAGGACAATTCAAATGATTGGAGAACTTTTAAAGTTTTAATAAGCTCAAATGACTACATGTATCATTTTAAATGAGCTATCCAACAGAGTCCCTTTTCATACACTCACCAGGAATTAATTAGCATTTAACTAAGGGAGAACTTATATGTAACCTTTTTATATGAGCAGCCAATATTTTCTTGGCTACAGTGTCATCAATATCACTTTATTTTAATTAAAAATTTAAAAAAAAAATGAAATTCTGGCTTAATCTCAAAATAGCATCTAGTGGTCTAAATCTAAGAAATCACTGGTACACAGTTATGCACGATATGAGGGAAGAAATTGAATTATGACTAATGGTAGCATTTAACATTTAGTCACCCATAAATAAAAATTTTACTTAGGCAACATTGGTCAACTTTAAACACATAACATAGTGTAATACATACTATAATAATACAATGATATTTAAATGATAAATTAATAACATCCATCCAGAGTTTGTAAATAGTTTTTCATATTAGGCTTGTTTCTCTGTACTAACTCTTACCATGTAAAACAATAAGCAATAGTTTAGGAATTATCAAACAATGTTTAATAAAACAAAAGCAGAGAGTGGAATATGCATTCATGACCTTAAACACTCACCTTCACCGAAACTTTAAACATAAAAACTTGATATAATGACATTAAAACAAGTCAATTACTGATCTATGACTTAATAACTCAAATCAGATGATCATCAGTAGATATTGTGAGTCACATTTTAAATACCAGTATTCTAAAAGGAGTCAGAAAATTAAATAATTCAATCAAAAGTCAATTCAATGGTCTATTTCTTATTGTCAAAATGCTCATTTTATAAAGAAATGCAGGACAAGAAAATGTGTAAATAAGCCGTCATAACCTTAAATGTTTAATAGGAACTTCTCAAACATTAATTCAACAAAAATAAAAAATTTAATTAGTGTTCATGACCCAAGCACACAATGTTATATGTGACCATTTTATCACATATAACAATTAATTCCTATACATGTATATCATTTTTACAAAAAATGCTATACATAGGCTGTTTTATATAAATTTTTACTCTAGTGGGCTTATTACATGTATATCATAAATCTAATTATTCAATAAGCAAGAAAAAATTACCCTCAGTTGAGAGAGATTCATATCTACTGAACACATAAGGTCAACAAAGCACGACAATAATAACAACATAAATAGATAAAAGCCGTGTCACGACAAAACCAACATAGTGCGTTTGCGACCAGCATCGATCCAGACTAGTCTGCGCATCCGCGTAGTCTGATCAGGATCCATGCTGTTCGCTATAAGTTTCTCTACTTGTAATAGAGTTGGTAAGCGAACAGCATGGATCCTGATCAGACTGCACGGATGCGCAGGCTGGTCTGGATCCATGCTGGTCGCAAACTCACTATGTTGTGACACGTCTCAATTATTAAATAGTTTAAATAAACATGGGTAAATAAACAAATACACTGACGTAATAAATAGAGATTATCAATATAGACAACCTTAATTAAGTTTCCATTGTGACAATAGAGTCAAATAAATTGGCAAGTTTATAGTGTAAAAGCAGCAATGCATTAAATATCAACCCGTAAATATTTGCATGAAGGCATTATTTGGTACTTTAATGTTAAGATAATTGACCAATATTTGAAAACTGGAAATTTATGTGATAATGTGCATTCTTATATCATCAATTTGACATATTTGCAGTTGAAAGATGACACATTCAATCTTCTTATCTTAAAGAAATTCACAAAGTATGCAAGAAAAACAAAAACAATTATCAAGGATGCCATTTTTCACATACAGTCTATTACTTCAAACAATAAAGTACAGAAGCTATCACTTATGTTGAAAGGCACAATGAATGTATTGGGAGGTTGGTACAAAATGAACATGTCCCTTACGTAATGATTTAGAACCATTTCATACAGGTGTATCAATCATTTTATAACAAACTCGCAAATTATACCAGTAGTAGGCTTTAAATGAAAGACAATAATAGATGTGTAATCTCAATTGTCACGTATCTAATTTACATAAATCTTTACCAATATTAAATTAAACCCTTCACATGTTAAATTTCTTAAATGAAAGTGTTGAACTATTTATGGAACTGTTCATTATCAATAACAAATGATATCAAGATGAAAATTTTAAATTGTCCAGTCAACAGTATAGAGCCTGGTCAAACTGTATGGAAGTGCAAGACGACCTGGCTCTATTAGGTGGTAAAGCTTATTAATTTCGGCTTTATCGATTTCGACTCCAGGAGTGTGTGTAAATGTTGGAGTAACAAAACATTTATCAATGAAGGTGAAAACCAAAATTTTATAATACTATAACAATAACATAAGCAATAGCTGTGTTAGTCAATGCAAGAGACGATATTTATTTTATCTTGAGTGAATATGGGATACATCTTTCCGTGAAAAATATTAAACATGTTCTACAGTATTCATTCAATGAAGTAGAAAAATAAATTATTTGATTTAAAAAATTTCCAATTTGGAAAAAAAAAGTAATTTAGATTAACAAGTGGAATCAAACAATTTTCACTAGAACTATAAGATATATAGCCAGTGTTATATATCCGGTAAATTCTAGTGAATAAATATTTATTGTTGTTTATAACAACAATCATTATGCAATTTCAATTGAAAACATTTTCAACAACAAATTTACTACAATTAAAATTCTCTCATAAAATACTTTCTTCTCCTTTAGTATTCTTTTGCTGCACAGATTCAAAGTTAGAATCACAGAGAGAACGCCATGGCTAACTCTCACTAAAACATTTTTAGGAAGCATATTTGTTATAGCTTAACAATGCTTTGCTTATGTTATACACTTAAACAGCTTTTATTTTTGTCTGTAAGGTTTTCCATGAATTCTGAATCTGTATAGACATGTATACTCCTGGTTACCATAGTTATTGACTATCCTCAACTCATACATGTAGAATGGTTTGACTTGCCCTTTCACCTGAAATACATGTAATCATTGAATATTCAATTATGTTAAAAGGTAACATATTGATTTGTGCACCATTTAGAAATATTTAAAAATAAGTTTTTCTTCAATGAATTTTTCTTTTAATTATATAATAATACCAAGATAGGTAAAGTTCATACTTTACTTTCAAGTGACGATTATATAGTTGTTAAGGAACAATCAGGTATTTAAACAGAACCACCAATGTTCTGTTAGGTAGCTTCTAAGCATACAAGATTGTTCAATGCCCAAATTTGACTGGATTCATTGATTGATAGATTGATTGTTTGGGTATAATGACACACAGACATAGACATGTTACTTGTCATACTGCACTGGAGACCAACAATTTAACTGGAATATTTAGCTAAGAGCTGCAAATGTTGAATAACATGCTGACTTTTAAAAATGGATTCAAAGCATCACATAAAATTAATTCTGTGAAAATTTCAAATGACTGAAAATGGTTTCTTTTTAAATAGTGTTGAATTAACAACCTGAAGACCTAAAAGGGGTCTGTTAACATTTCAGTGTCTTCTTCTTGCTTCTACTTATGGAAATATATTTTACCTACTACTTCTTGAAATTTATATCCAATAATCAAAGCATTTGCCTAGTTTACTGTTAAAATATATAAAATACAGGCATCACTAAAAGTAATATATACGTAAAATTTTATTCAAAAGGAAGGCTTTTTTATTTGTATTTTAATTTCAAGGAAGGGTTTTTTATTTGTATTTTTATTTCTTTATAGAATAAGTATCAACATCATTAAAAAGTAGGAAAGATAAAGGACTAGTAAACAACTTGTTTTATTGTGATAAGATGAGGTTATATTCCATGTCAAAATTACTCCCATCACATCTCTATTTACAAGATCATCTTATCTTCATTCCTTGATCAAGAAAAATAGCAGATCTTTTCTAACGTACATAAAGCATAGAATACTTTATGTCAGGTGGTTAAATAATTTCATACAATAAAACATATAGTGGTGATTATATTAGTCAACTTAAGCAATATATCTCACCTGTATGGGGAAAAACTGCATGGGTTTTCCATTATCATTATATGTATAATTACCCAGTGAAACACCATGGTCATCATACTCACTTTCTAAACCCTGTAATATACGAGGTACATGTTTCTATATAGTCACTGATAATACTATTATTTATATGTAAACCATAAACACAATAAAATATATCTTTTCAATGCTAAGATTGGATGTCCCTATATTCCTCTGTTTGTCAGTCTAGTGGTAGACAGTATGACAGCAGGACAGACAGACATGGGAAAATCTATATGTCCCCAAAAGGTCAACAAGCTGTCTTATCTTACATACCAACAATACTGTTTTTTGAAATATGACCTACTTGAGTCACAACAAAGTAAAATTGCTAGCATATCATAATTATAACCTGGTATATCCAGGAAACAGACTTGAGAGCAGTTAAAACAAGCTAAAAACTGCTGTTATCTAATCAAGATGAAATAATTCAGTGTAATCTGGCTTTGTGTCATACAATGACATCTATGAATTTGTTTAACAAAAAACAAGTTACCCAACAAACTGCAGCAAGAAATCAAACAAAATGAGTTTTGCAGGGACTGATCATAAATTACGATTTCTTATCAAAACATTTCATTATAATAATGTATTTTATCTTACCAATACTGTAAAGTTCTTTGGTGCACTGTCTATCTCCCCTGAAGGGGCTAGAGATTTAGGTATGTGTTCTAAAGTGAATCCAGATGGAATGATAATGGTGGAGGTCTTTATAACAATAAAACCTTGAGCGCCTTTAAATGCCCAACATTGTCCAGGATATACTTCAGGCTGAAATCAAAATACACATTAAGAAAACACAGAAAATAACCTAGACATAATTATTGTAACTGTGACTGGAATATCATTACTCAGATTTCTTTATTATTCTCATACTGGATAATATAGTATAAGAGAGGTAATACTGTGGAGTACAGAAAAAAAAGACTACATGAGTTATCTGAAAGTAAAACTATCAAATACACTGAAATGTGTTGCATTCTCTAGTTATTAAAATATTTCTCAACATTTTAAATATGGAAAGACATTAACATAAAGTTCTCATATTGCAGTCTTTGTAGTATTCTACTTCCTCATAGATATTAAGGTAAAATATACCTAAATACATATGGGATATGTATGTACAAATCAAGTACATAAAATACAAATTGACAACCAGGTGAGCGAAAGTAGGAAGTTAACATTGGCTAACATTCTGTCAAAGCATACTGTTATTACTGTCTCAACAATATTTCAATGATAGGTATATTATTAGTAAGAAATATTTTTGCACTGTATAAATGGTTGTTGTATATACAACCCGAACTGCTAGGCGAGAATTATATTGCAAACAAACGTTTATATACAGCCATATAACATGTCAGGAATATTGATAACAAATTTATAATACAGAAAAATTGCTTATTAAGAGGGAAAAAAAAATCTGATTTCAAATCATAAATTTTGACAATAGTTGTTGTTATAAAAATTATAAATTCTATATAAAATGTCATGGTTATCCCAATGAAAAAACGATGTTACCAAATGTTGCAGTTTTATAAAGTTAAAGATCTGCCAGTAGCATAAGAGTAAAGCCAATTTTTTATGCATTGTTCACTGAATATATCATGCTTTCCAAACCCACCAATTTCACATTTACCAGGAACGCAATCTCCTTAAATATTGAGAACCCAAATGAAGGGATTTGATCAGTTTTAATTTATAAACCCTAAAAAAAACTTCATGCTAATTAAAGCATTTTGCATAATAAACCAATACCTTTACCGTATAAACAGTTCTAGGGGAGTGAGGCTACCAGAGGGTAACAACCAAATATACGGGAGAGTGTTCTTCCCTGTAATAACTCTTGCACATCTTGTTATTAGAAAAAAAAATAAAATATGGTTTTCATAACTATTGTATCTGTATTGATAGACTGACCATCCATTTCATTGTTAGCTTGTGTTGGCCTATAACATTTCTTTGGGTTCATTGCAAAATTTGTTAACTAAATACATGTATAAGAAATTAAGTGTACAAATTGAACACTCCTATGAAAAAATCCAAAGCCATATTCTTTATAAAGTAAGTTCTTTCATCATAAAATCTTTTTGTACCCTAATCCATAATATAAACAACATTATACAAAGTTTTTCTCCTTTTCTGTTAACTGCTTTTGACCATAAACTGTCTAATGTTTAAAAAACAGAAATTTACAATAATGTATGGCTACAGAAACTTATCAGTCTAATAGAAAAAGATCAACACTGCATATTCCTAGGGAAATTTATTGTACAATATTACAACAAGTAATATATGTGTATTTTACCTGCTGAATTTTCAAGAGCAATAATCTGCTATTTCCTAAATTTTATAGCACTGGTATCTAAATAAGGCTTCATCAATCAATCTGACGCACTTTCCTGTAAAAATAAAACAAAAACTTTCCCATAACATTCTACACCATATTTACTTGGACCTTTTTTGACTTATTTTTTACTTTATTAAGCAGTGAATGAATAAGTTATTTATGTAAAGAAAGATCACATTTTTAAGTTTTTTACAAGCATTCATTTCTATGAAATCTCTATTTTGTTCTGTCAATGTAGGCATTTGTAACACAAGAGGACATCTTCAAATAAGGTAAAATTTTAATTTGCAGGGAAAAATGCATTTTATTTAAAATGCCTTGTCCAAAATTGGCAAAAGAAAGTTAATGGATTCACGGATTTATCAATCCTTTCTAGTCTAAATAAAATACATGGCATTTTACTCTCTGATAAAACACAAGAAAAAAATCATCATTATTTCAAAACCATTGACTAAGCAAACACACAAAAAAGAACTGACATAGACCTGTTCTCCAACTCCTAATCCATTGCTGGTGATATGTACACTTTGTTGTTTATTGTTTTCTTGTTTCTGTTCAAACTGTTGGTACTGCTGTTGCTGGGCTGCTTGTAGATTCTTCATCATGTCCATCACACTTGTGGTCAACTCCGTGGCTAGTTCCTCCAAACGTTTATCCAGCACATCACGGCTTACATAATGGGTGTGTAACCATTCTGTGAAAGAATCTTGGGTTGGATTTCCACTTATATGACCTGCCATCATCTAAAAAAAATAGTGAGACCTACAGTTAATATCTAAAACTTCAAATTAAAGTAAATACAACTAGAACTATCACTAAATGTGATTAATACCCCCACAAGACTGCTTCGGAAATAAGGATGTTACTAGTAACAGAATACCTTGTAAAAGAATTGAAATATAGAGTTATGGTTGTGGGCAATTAAAGATAGTTGTGGTTCTTATATGTTGCATTTCCTTTTCAATGTTGGGTTGGGGCCATTGATTTGAAGTTTAAATGTAATTACTCTGTAATGAATCCAGAAAGACAAAAAAAAGGGAACAAAGGGGGGGGGGGGACAATAACTCTATAAATACTGAAGATAGAGTTATATAGTTCTTGGTGCACCTTGCACTTCCTCTTAATTGTGGCTTTGAACCATTTATTTGAAGTTGTTTTGAATTCCAACCAGTACATTTTTAAGTTATGCTCCTGACAAGGAAAAGTATTCCAAGGGCAGTAACTCGTATTTTGTCAAAATGGAGTTATGGCTCATTGTACACTGCACTTCCTTTTAATGTCCTTGACAACTGTATGAAAGTTGTATTGAATTCCAAAACAGTAGTTTTCAAGTTTATGCTCTGGACAAGGAAAAGTTAACAAAAGGGCAATAACTCTGCTAATTAGTCAAGATAGGTTTATGGTTCTTGGTGCACTGCACTTCCTCTCCAATGTGCTTGACCCTTGTACTGTAGTTATATATTGAATTTAAACCATTTAGTCTTCAAGTTATGGTCCGGTTACAAAAAAGGCAATGAAAGGACAACAAAGGGCAATAACTCTGTAATTACTTTAGATAGAGTTTATGATTCTTGTGCACTGCACTTCCCCGTTATTGTGTTTGACAATTGTATGAAGTTGTTTTGAATTCCAACCAGTAGTTTTCAAGTTATGCCCGGACAAGGAAAAGTAACAAAGGGCAATAACTCTGTAATTAGTCAAGATAGAGTTATGGTTCTTGTGCACTGCACTTCCTCTCAATGTGTTTGACCATTGTATGTAGTTTAGTATTGAATTCAAACTATTAGTCTTCAAGTTATCGGTCCGGACAAAAAAAGCAATGGAAAAGCAACAAAGGGCAATAACTCTGTAAATTAGTCAAGATAGCAGTTATGGTTCTTGTGCACTGCACTTTCCTCTCAATGTGCTTGACCATTGTATGTAGTTATATTGAATTCCAACCATTAGTCTTCAAGTATTATGCTCCGGACAAGGAAAATGCAACGGACGTCTGGACCGACCGACCGACCACCGGGTGACTCCTATATACCCCCCCAAACTTCGTTTTTGGGGGTATAACAAGAGTACTGCATGCAATGTTAATGCTGGTCTGTTAAAAATTATAAGTTAAAAAGTGACATAACTTCAAAAATATTGCTTTCACAACTATGCCCCTTAGCTAACAACTGTACCTTGTCATGGTGAGCAAACTATTCCAAGTTTTATGATGTTAACTTTTCAAATGTTGGAAATTTGGGTTACATTTAAGTTTTTGCACGACAACAACCCTACAGCTATCATAATAGCTGAACTTTTTCTTGAAACAGACAAGCTAAAAATCATATAAAATATTTGCAAGCTTTCACAGATTTAGGCAAAATCATCTACAATCTTTCATATCATCTATACAATTAACATCCTTCAAGGTTGGCATACAATATTTCATGATTTAATTTGTGCAAAATTTTTATTAACTTAATTGCCAAAACTGCATAAATATTTTAAGAACACAAACCTCAGCTAAAATAGCATTAACATTATCCTTGACGGCTGCGAGGTAGTACGTTTCGTTATGACAGCAAGCATTCACACGTGCCAACAAGGCAGCATAATCTGTCTCCAATGCATGAAGTTCTGCTTGTAATCCTGACAACTTCTCCTCTAAGTCTGCCAGATTCTGTGCAGAGTCAACCTTAATCTCAGCACCTTGATCAGCCATGCTGACCTTCTGGGCAGCTATAGTGCTGTCCAAAGCCTGCAGTATACAGTAATCATAGTTGATAAACAAAGAACTAACTGTTTTTTGCATTCTGTTAAATGTAACATTTACATGTATGTAACATAAATGTAATGGCTAAACTTGATCTTTTAGTGTTCTTTTACTGATTTTCTTTTACCTTTCTTAGTTAAGTATAAAGTTTCAGCCTCGTCTGATAAAATTGATATCAAAAGACAGTAGCATGTTATTCTCTATAAATCATTTACAATAGTGTTTGAAAATATATGCCTTTAAGACCAAGAAAAAAAACATAAGTTACATGTTCAACCATTAGGATGGAGAATAAAAAGCTTCATTTAAGTGTTCTTTTACTCATTTGTTAACTTTTCAGTTTTTATTTACATTACATTATAAATTACAATAAATCAAAAATGATGCTACAGAGGCTTAAACCAATTTATGAGCATTAACCGAAGACAGTTGCTTAATGAGACAAAGCATATGGAGGATTTTGACTCACCTTTATGGTTACTAATAGAGCATCATGTTTTGTCTGCATTTCTTCCAGCTTGATTCCCTGTTCTGTCTTCCACTGAGCCTAATAAAACATATCAAAATATAATCAGAGGTACCTTCCAAAATACAAATTTGCTTTCGAAATACAATGTGTCTCTAAACCTTACTTATATCAATAATTATTAAATAAAATCTTTATATACAAGTCTACACACCGAATATAAAAAAACTCCCTTAAGGTAACTGGAGAGATGAAATAGATTCTTCTACTTTCAAAAACAAATTTGAACCTGCATGACAGGTAAGTGAAAGAAAGTCATTCATATGAACTAGTATGCACTTCAAACATATCATTAGGATTTGATGTTAATATTGGACAACCTCTGCCCAGCAACATCCTTTGGTCATTTTGGTTGTCATTGTAAGGAGGTGTTGCTCTATTGAGGTTAAATCCCGTGTGAAATCTTAGTATCATCAGATATGACTTTGTTGTTGTAAAAAGGTTATTGCTATACACAAGGTCACCTTACAGAGGTTATACTGTATGTTAATTCTTTGTCAATACCAGGATACCTACCTGTTGAAGCTGAGCTTCACTGTTGATCCCAGCAATATTAGCTTTCAGTTCGGCTGTTTCCTTGCCAATAATTCTGTATACTATAGCCTCAACATCTGCTGCTGTCAAATGCTCCTTGTTGTTAGATTGTAATTGTAGAATCATTGTTCTAACTTCATCATTCAGATGGTGAAAATACTCATGCTTCTCCTGTGTAATGTAAAAACAATAATTAATATATCTCTTGTGTTATAAAATATCAAAATTATGAATTAAATGATATTCTGTGTAACACAACAACAAATATACATTTGTAATTTAACAATAAAAACTATGACAAACTTTTAAAGTTATTCAGATAGTTTTATTTCCTATATGAGTATATCAGTATACATTGTATATCTATTAAATTTTCTAAAAACAACTTGACTGCTTTATGTAAATAACAACAACTAACTGTGCATTATATCAGACGGTTTAGAACAAAGCTTCCTCAAATAAAATAACACATTCTCTTTAAGAATTGAAAAATTCATGCCAACTCAACAACAAATTTCATTCTTTTACACTTATCATGGCTCAAAATAAATTTAAAAGGACTTAAATAGGATTAATGTAACCATAATACAATTGAACAAGAAGAAAAAAATTTGATAAGCACTCACATTAATAACTATCTGGGGGGAAGATTTTTGACGAGCATACATTGCCATCAAAGCTGACTTACTATCAAGCCATGAATCTATACCTGAAAGTTAATGGGTAGTTAATATATAAAAGAAATAATCATATAGGACAAAATATACTGTATCAACATTACATCTTATAAATCATGTTTATTTAAGTACCAATTATTTCCTACAAAAATAATTTTTGTTACAATTTTTCAATAAGACCCTCTTTCTGTTCTGTATTTTTTCATATTTAGGATTTACCTCTAATGAATAATTCTATAATCATGCAAGTTTCTTTCATGACAGATAAACATGTACATGTATTTATGATATAAATTGATGTAATTACCAGTTGAAAGTGTCAATAATAGTGGCAGCAAAAGTAGTAATGGTAAACACAGACAGCAACCTCGGCTTCTCCTTCTACAAACATAAAGTCAGTAATTATAATAATGCCAAATTCCTTACTGAAAACATTACTCTGTTCAGAAAGACATAATCTATGATACAATTATATTACAAGTTTTCCTAGCTCTATGCCTAACTCCTACCATGCTATTTATTTTAAATGGACTTGTCCATCTTTTAATCTGGACAAAACCATTTATTATTTTAAAATTAGTATCGACAGACTTAATTAATGTAATTGAGAAATTATGGAAAAGTTAGTCATAATTGTGTCTGAGTGTTTATTTACCCTAAGAACCAGATTAAAGACTGTATGGGCAGGCATATACTTCATCTATAATTGAATTTAAAAGGGAACTGATATTTTGTTACCTTAAAATGATTTTGGTCATGTGTTTATCTGTGTGCAATAATGCCCACAACATGCCATTTATTAAAATACAAATGCATGTACAATGATATAAGAATACTATATGGTCATAGGAGTAAACATTACCTTTTAAACAACCAGTAATCCAGTACAACAAATTGCCAGGACACATAATGGACTTTTTTCCACAACCATTCTGGGACTGATGATGCATCGCTCAATTTTGAGGACCACAACCAAGAAAAGGCATTTAAAATTGATCTTGCCATATAAAGCAATGGCTGGGTACATAACAACCATGTGAAGTATATAACTGATGTAACAGCTGTTACTATTGGTCGACATAAATATTTCCAGACTGGTCTACCAACACTGTTCCAAACTGGTTCCCCTACAGCATCCCAGACTGGTTTGAATGGTCTGGTCACAGTTGATATGGTTTCTATAATTATATAAAGCATAAAAAAGTACAATGCTGGAGCACCCTTCTTTAGTATATTAATTTCATCTGATTTGTTATCCTTTCTTTTTGTTTTCAATTATCATATAATTTTTTGTTATAAGTAATAAGTTATTTAAACTCTTATCTGTAGACATTTTGTTCTAATGTTTTTTTTAAAAAGCTCAATCTTAGTATTGGCAAGACTAAATGATGGGAGCATATGTCAAGAAAAACCTTTTTCTATTAAGTGCAGTTTCACCATATCATAACGATATACTTTGTCTCGTTCATTTTATAAGTAAATACCTGTAACAGTAGTGACAATTGTAGTTATAGTGGACACTGAGTCACTATCATCACTGTAACCATCATATCCACTCCCTGTACTTGTACTGTATTTAGAACGTCGAGTCATTGTTGAATCCGAGTCAGAAAATTCTCCATCTGTATCTAAACCTGAAAATATAACTTGCAAATATTGACATGGCATCATTTTGCATATCAACACTTCCATATTATATATATACATGTATGTGCATTTTCCTGTATCTTATATGACCTGAATCTTAAAATAATCAAACAAATGTCTCGAAGGAATGATTATGATGAAGTTTGTCATTAGGTATAAATGGAAGAAGATCTAGATACTGAAATATATTCCAAAGCTATTGAACCATTTTGAAAGAACACAGTTACTACAAGTTCACAATAAAATACAGCAATGAATTCTTTACATTACCACTTATGTTTTAAAATGAATCTTATACTATTATTTATCAAGAAAATTGAGATACCTATGAGTCAAATATATCTGCATTTAGCTCTACCTTGGCTTTCCTTGAGTGACCATGAACATTTTTCAGCTTTATGTAGGTCACAACCATGAAACTTTCTGAAAGAAAAATGGAGATTATTATCCAACTTACCATTTAAACGTATGTTATATTTTCGATGATTATTCGCCACTAACTTGGACTTCTCAGATGCCTCTACAGCACCTTTCTCTGTCACACCATTATCATCAAACTCCTCTGTTGCTGTTCTCCTCACAGTACGTACAGAATAACCTCTTCCTGACCTACCTCA